TGCCACCCTTTGCCATGCTATTAATCAATGATGGCATAAATGTCACTCATACAGAGATCCCTTGTGCAGTCAATACATCCTGCTGGCTCACAAATTGTCTAACCCCTGCTGCGAAAGCTAAACCTATATTTTTCTTCAGAGTGCCCCCAGCAATCTGGCTTCCAGTGACCCTGTCCAGAGTTGAGGAGTCCATGGGACATGGAGATGAAGAATCTTCTAAATGAGATCCTGCAACAGACAAGGTGTGCAATTAACATCATCTCTGGGATTACTGCCCTGGTGACCACCAATGCCACCACAACCACTGTCACTGCTTCATTCACGTGGAGTATCCAGGCTGCTCAGACTGTGAACAATGTGTCCACTGCCGTGGCAGAAGCCTTTGCCATTCAAAGTGACTTAAATAAAATCTTCCAAGCTGCTATTTTAGTCATCAGCAAGAACTAGACCTCACCAGGAACAACTAGATATTCTGTTTTGTTGCAGAGGCTCATTGTGACCCTGAGTTTCATAGTATTTGTGTCACCCAATATGCTGTATCTGAAAATGTAACCTTACACTTCTCCAGTTTTTCTCTGCATATTAAGGGCACTTGGGATGCTAATGTGTTATGACTACGCAAAACCTTACTAAGGCAATTGTCAAAATCAATGAGATGAAGGTGTCTATCTTGACAACCTCTTCTTTCTTCCAGGGACTGACGGAGCACTGGAAAAACCTGATAGCCAAATTAACTAATCCTTATAATGCTATTACCCTGGCCCTACTGTTTTAGTGATAATTTTTTCTTGTGTTGTGAGATGCTTACGTAACCATGTAAAGGCCACTAGACGAAAAACAGCAATGCTGGCTGAGGTCCTTGAAGCACAGTTAGAGCGGGGAGATGTGGGGACAAGTGCCTGGGGTACTGCATTCATGGCATACTTTAAGGTGGCAGGCCTCTCCCCTCGTGCTAGTGTGTGAGCAGCAGGCTGCTTACACCGTAGGCATAGCCCTGGGCGTGAGGTCATGTGTTGCAGTCCCTGGGCTTGCTCCATAGCCCACTCCTCGATTGGTCACTGCAAGTACAGTTAGTAGACATTGCACTGGTGGCTGCCTGTAATCTGCTTAGCTACTGCCTGAGTATATATATGGTAACTGCGCACTAAAATCAGACCTGCTTCCTGCTTGGTCTCTGGAGGTCTTGATTAGTGACTATGCAACCACACTCTCCTCTACCCTGTTCCATGGACCTCCTAGCTGTATGAGAGAGCCCACAAACTGCCCGTCTTGCAAGAAATGTTAAAATTAATTCTTTAAAAGAAGAAAAAGACTCCTGCTATTCTTCCTTGATCTGAACAAAGGGTTTGTATATGATGACATATACAACTGTGCACCTACACATGACACACAGCAATGAGCACACACACAGGTGAGAAAAGTGAGGAGCACACAGGTGACGGGAGTGTGGGAAGACAGAGTCTGAACTGTGGGTGATCATGGGGCAAGGGCAAGATCCTAGTAGGTTCCTATGCAGAGAATCTCTTAGCGGGGTTTAAAGCAAGCAGGCACCTGTTCCAGGGGGTCACGCTGACAAGGTAGCCACCTGACATTCGCAGGCAAGTGGTCACCTTGGAGGGAAGCTTCCTGAGAGCTCTCATCTCTAGCCACCAAGGAAGCATTCAGGTGGGACAGCGCTGGAAGCCATGAAGGGAGGCTGGCCTGCAGTGGCAGGAGAAAGCCACACTCACACTTTAAGTGGAAGCAGAAGGGACATTGAGCTCCTCTCGCTCTCCCTGAACAGTGTCAGCACTATATGTTTTTCTCCATCTCTACTGTTTTTTTGTACCAGGGATTGAACTCAAGGGTTCATAACCACTGAATCAAACCCAAGCCCTTTTTAGTTTTCATTTAGAGTCAGGGTCTCAGTAAGTTACTCAAGGCCTTGCTAAAGTTGCAGAGGCTGGCTTTAAACGTGCAATCCTCCCACCTCAACCTCCCAGGCCACTGGGACCACAGGTGTGCACCACCATGCTCAGCTTCATCTCGTACAAGGAGAAGAGTCCTGTCCCTGCTTACAATAAATTCTATTACTATGACAACTCCCACCACTGAGGACTCATGACAGTGACAACTCCAGCCACAGGTGTGAATTTTAAAATGACAAATGGGGTAAAGGACACCATATTCTAATTACGTTTTCTAAGTAACCAATGGGGAGAAGGAAATTAGAAAATATTCTAATCCTGTATCGTAAGGTAACCAATGGGAGTAAATGGGGTAAGGTCATCAGTCAGGTCCATGTAGGGAAGAGAATGCTCCACAGCTCAGGACATAAGACCCTAACTTCCAGACCCTGAGGCCTTGAGAGCGGCCCTGCCTCACCCTCTTGCTTGGCCCACTCTGCTCTAACAGGGTGCTATTTTCACCTTTAAGAACTTTGTACTTTGCTACCTCTGTGTCTTGCTCAATTCTCTGTTCAGGACTTGAAGGACCTGGACCCCAAATGGCACCCTGATGATAACGTACATGCATATATGCTGGATGGGAATTCTCAATTGGTTCTCTCTCTCTCTCCCTTATAACAAGTTTTGGGGTGGTTTTAAAGCACAACAGATAAACAGAACAGAATCTGGTAGTCAGAAATGGGGTGCTACAGTAATAAAAAGCCATGACACATGGCACTATAAGACCAAACAGATGCTACTAAAAGATGAAGCCATCTTCTTCTGGGATGGCACACACCTGCCGTTCCAGACTTGGGCAGCAGGGTCACAAGTTCAAACGCAGCCTTTGCAACTTAGCATGACCCTGTCTCAAATTTAAAAATAAAACGAACTGGGGAGGTGGCTCAGTGGTTAAGCACCTGATGTCAATCCCCAAGACCAAAAAAAAAGAGGGGGGTATCTAAACAAATAGGATCTAGAAAAACAAACAAAAAGATGAGAAATGAACTAATAAGCAAGGATGTTTAATTTCCACACAGAATCTGGAAGAACTATGGAGGATCCAACATTCTGCAGGTTTGAAATAAAACTATTTCTATCCCTGGTTTTTCTTACTCCTTAGAAGTCAGAAACGGCTTTGTGGCCCAGATCAGAGACCAAAAATATTTTCAGCATTCTAAGATCTTGGGGCGAGACACAGAGTGGGCCTGGTAAAAAGTGGGCCTTCCAAGGCTGTCCTCCAGTGCCCAGGACAGAAGCGGCTGCCAGAGAACAAAATGCCTGTCCCCGAGAGCACGAGGGTGGCTCAGGACTAATACATGCCAGTACAGCTGGAGCTCACTTCACTTAAAGAAAGTATTTCTTATAATTCATGTCTGGAGTCAGAAAAAAACTGAAAAGGAGGCTGCTGGATCCCCCACTTATAACCAAAAGATGTTCCACTAAGAACCCAGATGTTTAAGAAGAACACTGATAGAGAATGGCAAAGCCAGGGGAGTAAGGAGGCACAAAGCACCTTTCTCAGGGAGGAGGACTGGACTTTAAGCTAAGAATCAGTGCAGGTGGCCACTAGGAGCAGTTTTTCTGACCACTGCTGCAGGGAGTGTCCACCAGAGTCAGTCCTATCTCCTCAGTATGGAGGGGGTGTGTGGGAAGTACAGATGGCTGGTCACCAAGACTTAGCTGAGCCTTCTACCAACACCATGATACAAAAAGGTTTAGAGGCCAGACGCAATGGTGCACTCCTCTAGTCCAGTGACTTGCGAGGCTGAGGCAGGAGGAAACCAAGTTCAAGCCTCAGCAACTCGGTGAGGTCCTAAGTAACTTTTGAGACCCTGTCTCAAAATAAAAAAACAAAAAGAGCTGGGGATGTATCTCAGTGGTTGAGCACCCCTAGGTTCAATCCCTGATACCAATAAAGGGGCTTTGAGGCTCTGGAGACCGACAAAGCATGCTTCACACGGGAGAGAAAGGGAGGGAACAGCACACTAACAACTGGTGTGTCTCGTTACTCTCTCTGAAAGGCAGAGTCTAAAGGCCTCTCCTTAAGCAGAAGTGGTCCTAGGGACGTGCCTGACCAGGCTTGTGTCGGGAAGGCCATCTGAGACTTCTGAGGGAAGACCACAGAAGGCTCGCAGCTTCCACCTGGGTCTCCAGAGAAGCCAGGCACATCTGACTTCCCGAGACTGCCAGAGCCAGAGAGGCTGGTGGCCCCAGGTCCTCGGCCACCAGGGTCCTTCCAGCTAAGATGACTGGCATCATGAAGCAGCCCACCAACACTGCCCAGTCCCGTTGCCTGACCCACAGAACCATGACACATAATAAGCCTGTAGGTTCTGTAGTTCCATGTTACTCAGCTGATAACTAGAAGACCAAAAATTCTTTAGAGACCTTAGGTGGTACCCTCATTTGAACAGAAAGGATACAGTTAGACTTGGATATTAAGTTCAAGGTAAATTAACAAAGTAAGTTCCATGTTAGATATGAAGCTATAATTATGAATTTTAAATGTTCAGTTAAGTGGATTTAAAACTTTCTTCCTTAAGCAACTATTAACAAGTATATTCCATAAACAGTTACAACTGATATGCATTCATTTTTCACATTTTTAAGTGGTTATCAGAAATAAAAAAGAGCTTACAAACATGCCAGTTATTCTGAATTACAAAATAAAACTATGTATTAATAAAAACTATAGATCAAATCGCTGACATAAACTTCCATAAGCAAAGATACACATTATAAAATCTTTATCTTGTTTTTATTCTTTGCATTGTCTATCAATTCTATTAACTGACCCTTGTTCAAAACTGCCCCATTAACCTCTGAATGCTAAGGAGTCACTCTGGGTAGGGAAATAACCCATAGGGACAGACCTAATCACCCAGGAGCACAGCCTCCGCATTCTTCCAAGAATGGCACTTCCAATGCAATGAACAGTTACTGTGCTTGTGAGCACCGACTGCTCCTCTTCCCCAGGGGCATTACTGAAGCCACAGAATAAAAGGGAAAAAATCAACAAAAGCAGCCAGACTTGACACCAGGTGAGATGAGGTCTGAGTCCAAAGAACCCACCTTTATGGTCTGTATAGTAGCTGGAGAAGGGCGACCACATTTGAAGACCAAAAGGATGCGGTTTTCATCTGCACTTTGGACAGCTGCCAACATGAGAGCTGAATGTGTGGTCTACAGGCTAAGGAAGAGGTCAGGCTGGTTTCTTCAAGAAACCCAGAGGCCTGGGAGGCTGAGGCAGGAGGATCACAGGTTCAAAGCCAACCTGAGCAAGTCTCTAAGCAATTCAGCAAAACTCTGTCTCTAAAGAAAAAAAAAAAAAGGTGCTGGGGGATATGGCTCAGTAGATAGGTTCAATCCCCAGTATCACAAAAAAAAAAAAAAAAAAAGAGAGACTGGGACAAAGGGGAAACAGATAAGCCATCTGAATGAGCTACATCAAGAAGGTAAGTGGTACATATACACATGGAGTATTACTCAGCCATAAAGAAGAATAAAATTATGGCATTTGCCAGTAAATGGATGGAACTGGAGGCTATCATGCCAAGTAAAATAAGCCAATCACAAAGGCCTAATATTCTCTCTGATATGTGGATGCTGACACACAATGGGGGTGTGCAGTGGACGTTCACGGGACTGAATAGGACAAAACTTTTCTATGTTCGTGTATGAATACAAGACCAGTGTAACTCCACATAATTTACAACCACAAGACTGAGAAGTTATACCCAATGTATGTATGACATCTCAAAATACATTCCATCATACATAACTTTAAAAAAATGAATGGAAACTAAGGAATGCCAAGAGAAAATTGAGAACACTAGTTTCAAACTCAACACACTCAAGTCAAGACCTGAGAACAGTCACTAGATTTCACTGTGTGGGTTCCTGGTGAGTTTTCTGAGGAACTGAGACCACAGTCAGTGGGTTAATGTGCAGATGAGCTGTGTCTGCGCAACAGAAAAGCATTCCATTAGTTGCTGCACCATCATACACAGGAACATAACACAGCCTTCCATGAGCGCCACTGCATGAACAGGTGCGCTGAAGGCCCTGGGGTCGACTCAGCCCCACTGACATCCAAGACAGCCTTCCAAAGCTGTGTGGGCCACGCTCTCTGAAGAACTCCAGGAGAACCTCATTAAGGAAGCTGTAAAGCAGTGAAGAGTACACAACAGGAAAACAGTGTTTCATGAAAGCTGAGCAGGCTCTTTCCTCAGGTTCCCTCCAATCCTGTGAGAAATGTGTCTGCCTTTCCAGCACAACATCAGAAAGGCCAGGTACACACTGCTCCTCCAAGGAGAGGACCCTGAAGTCAAAACCTGCACCTAACTGTGTGCCAACTTTATTTATGAACATTAACTTCAGACTCAGTTTTACTTATTTCTACTTTTCTGTTTTAAGTCATGGACCCACAAACCCCATGCAGTATAATGTAAACCAAGTGAGGAATGGATAAAAACAACTCACTGGAGTCTCACTCATTTTTTCAGTGCTCCTGGAAACAGGCGGAAAAGGTGAATAAGGTGAAGTCATGAGGGAAATGGGCAGGGGGCGTGGTCCTAGATTCTCCTGCTCAGACCAACACACTGGCTGGAAAAGACCAAAAAGAAAGATTTTTAGCAAATGTCTGTTTTGACTTAACTATGGCAAAATAAGGCCAGCTGAAGAGTGATCCAGGGCAAGTCACATTTCCACAAATTCAATTTTTAAAACCTTTAGCCAGGCACAGTGGCGCACACCTGCAATTCCAGCAGCTTGGGAGGCTGAGGCAGGAAGATTGCAAATTCAAAGCCAGCCTCAGCAACTTAGCAAGGTGCTAAGTAACCCAGTGAGACCCTGTCTCTAAATAAAATACAAAATAGGGTGGGGATGTGGCTCAGTGGTGAGTGCCACTGAGTTCAATCTCCAGTACAAAAAAAAAAAAAAAACAATAAAACTTTCATATTTGGTAGAGACTCCTTGGCAACCTTTCCTAAATTACCAGGAAGATCCATCAGGTCAGAGGGAAGATCAGCAGATTTCTAGATGCCAGATTTGGTGATAAACCAGGTCTGAGAGCTAAGACATTGGAAGCAATTTGGGAACAATGAAGAAATGGAATGTTCAAAGAGTACTGTGGGCAGACTGCCCAGGTATTACAGGTATTTCTCCACCCCAGACCACACCTTCAGGCCCCTCCAATAGATAACATTTCCAAGGCTCCAGCCTCCCCTTCTCAGTCTGACTGAACTCTTTAAAGAAAACTGGTCCCAAACCTCCAGAACTGCCTACCTGGTGACAGCTTCTGGTGGAGCATTACTAGAGGAGCCTTGCTGCGCTCCTGCTGCCTGGGCCAGACAAAGCAAGTCCAGGGCTCCTGTCTCCCACTGACTGGGCCAGGCTTCGCAAAGCCAAGTCCAGAGCTACTGTCTCCTGCTGTCTGGGCCAGGCAAAGCAAGTCCAGGACTCCTGTCTCCCACTGTCTAGGCCAGGCAAAGCCAAGTCCAGGGCTCCTGTCTCCCACTGCCTGGGCCAAGCTTTGCAAAGCCCAGTCCAGGGCTCCTGTCTCTTGCTATCTGGGCCAGGCAAAGCGAGTCCAGGGCTCTTGTCTCCCCCTGTCTGGGCCAGGCAAAGCCCATCCAGGGCATCACTCTCTGCCCTGGCCTCCTCTGAAAATGCGGCCGAGGCGAACTTTCTGGCGGCACTTTCCTTCAGACTCTGTAAGGCTTACTTTTACTTTGCCCCAAGATTAGGGGGCCATCATCACGCAGGACCCCCAACCCCGTTAGAACTTACTGTCCCTGGACATCAGTCTGGTATAGGACACTGTAAGCTCCAACTGCGGGCGGCTGTCCTCAAAGTGAAAGTGGAATCCCCCTCCCTGAAATCGGGGCTTCCCCCTGCAGAGAGGGCGAGCTCAGGGGGCACAGCGGCCCCGCCCGGACAGGTGCCCAGGGAAGGGACCGCAGGGGAGGAGAGGGACGCCGCCGCTAACTCGGGTCGACCGAGCCCGCAGCGCACAGGCCACCGGCTTCTCTTTAAGTCGGGAACTGGGAAGACAGAACCTGACACGTAGGTTTCTTCCATCTACCTTCAAGGCTGGCTTCCAATCCAGCCAAACCCCCGCCCACCTGGCTCGGAACGCTCCTCCGGAGCAGCGAGTCCCAGCATCCAGGGCAGAGCCCTGCCGCCGCAGCCGGAGGGCCCCAGAAACCCCACTGGCTCCAGTGACACCACGGGCACACAGTGCGGCCGGCCGCAGGTGGCCTGCTTCAAGTGAGGCGGGGCGCGGCGCTCGAGCTACTGAACAGCTCACCTCGGCTGGGACGACCCAACGGAACGGGGGCGTCAACCGGCGCCCCGGGCGGAGCGGGGCAGTCGCAGCGGGCGAGCGGCCTGGGGAGCTGCAGGGCCCCGGCGTGAGCTCAGGTGTCGGCGCGCACCCACCCGCCGGGCCTCGCGGCGGCACCCGTCCCCTCCCAGCTCCCGCTGGCGCCCGCGCGCCACTGCGCGGAGGCGCGGCCCAGCCCAGCAAGCACTTGGCACTCTAGCCAGACAGCCGCGGGGGCGGGAGCGTCGGCAGCAAGATGGCGCGGGGGGGGGGGGTGCGGCGCATGCGCAGAGGACTCCGGAAGCGCTCCGAGCGGAGCGGGCGACGGCGGCCGACCCTGCCTCCCCCAGGGCCCGGCGGTCCTGCCGAGGGGCGGGGCCGTCCGCTGCGGGGCGCGCTGCCGGAGGCCCGGGATTGGCCGCCCCGCGCGCGTGACCGCAGCCCCTCCCCGAAAGGGGGCGGTCGCGGGGTGTGGGGGCGGTGCTCGCAGCGCGGGCGGTTTAGCTAGGGATGCTGCAGGCGAGCGTGTTGGACCTTGGAAGGTCTGTCTGGGTTTTAATTCGTTAAGTGACAGGAAATCAATGTCTGTTTTCTTCCGAAGAATCAGGAAAAGCTTATCACCCGCTGAACTAACGGGGCGTCGCCAGTGGCGTTCGCTACTCCGTGGGAGATCCTCCCGTCACGAGTCAGGACGCCCGGGGCTGGCGTGGCCCGGGGCAGGCTCTGGGCGGGAGTTCAGGGTGTCTGGAGGGTGCTCACGGGGCTCCCGCGCTGCTGCGCCCGTGGGCCTGGCCAGATGGGAGCCAGTGCTCCTTTCAGGGCGCCTCGCCCGGCCTGCTCCGCCCGGCGCCCAAGCTAGACCCGCGGAGCTGGAGGGAGGCCCTCCCCTCCGAGGTCAAGCCCCCGAGGTAGCCGTCTACCCTACGGTGGCGGAGATGAAAAGGCCTGCAGGGTTAGCTGTCAAACAGCGACCTCTTACTGCTACCACTGCCCCTAAAAGAACAGAGAGCCCTCCGGAGCGTGCTGTGGCTGTGGTCAGTTGGGCCACTGGGTCAGGGCCTGACCCTCGCCAACCTTCCGGTACCTGAACTAAATGCCATTGAGTGGATCACTGAGCAGTTGGTTGCCCTCTTGCCCAATGGCGAGGCGGGAGGTTACACACCCACCACACCGAAGGCCGACCTTGTGGGACAGCTACAGATGACTGAGGGTGCCCGGGAGCCCAGCGCCCCGACCGCCCCGGGTAACCACTGTATAGCAGGTGGGCCCATCTCTTTCGAATTGGACACCAGGGCTACACTCTCAGTACTTGTCCAATTTTGGGGACCCACCTCTACCTCCACGATCTCCATTGTCAGGGTGTAAGGCAAACCATACCAACCATTAAAGACCCACTTCTCACATGCTCCATTCACGAGATCCTTTTGTCCCATTCTTTCCTCATCATCCCCCAATGCCCTACTCCCTTACTAAGTTGAGACCTTTTAAGTAAATTAGGTTCATCCATTTCCTTTAATCTTCCCCAGACTTGTCCCCACTTCCACTCCTCCTCCTCCTCCTCCTATCACCTACAGCCACCTCATCAACACCCTTGCCCCCATCCTTGGTCAATTCTCAGGTATGGGACGTACACAACCCCTCTGTAGCCACCTGCCAAGATCCCATCCACATCACACTTAGGACCCACCCTCTTTCCATCCGAAGCCCAGTACCTAAACAGCCTCAAGAGATCTAAAGCCATAGTTCCTGACCTTCTAGCCAAAGGCCTATTGGAGATAAGGATAATTCCCTCAACCATGAAATCTCTAATTACAGGTTGCAATTAGAACCAGTCAGCATGGGCCAGAGTAACCTAGAGCCCACACAACAGTGGAGACTTGAACATCTGTTGTCTTGCTATCAGTCAAGAGTCAAAAGATGGACCTGGATGTCACCTCCAGGTGCCCAGGGTAACTGGACTTGTGGTAGGCTTCCAAGGCTCCACTGGCTGCCAGTGTGTTAGCTGGATACCAAAGAGCAGGAGTGCAGCAGGGCTTGCTCCCATGGGCTTTCTGCAGCTGTAGGGGTCTCCAGGCTCCTGGCTCCCATGGTCTGGGCTCTGCTTGTTGGGCAGGCAGAGCCTGGAGCTGGAGAGAAGTCAGCACTTGGGTTTGGCTTTGGTTGAATAAAGAATTTAGCCTATATGTAGTGCTTTAACCCCTGGAAGAATGACAGATGACAAAGGCATACTCCCAGATGTGTGGTGGCTTGAACAAATTCCAACCTGCTTCACTCTGTATCGAGGTGAGATAACTGAAAGAGAAACAGAAGCATACTATTTGCTTTTCGAAGAGTAAATTATTTGACACTGGTAACTGGCAAAGTGAAAAAGCACTTTCAGAAGGTTATGAGACAAGAAGACATTAGTGAGATATGGTTTGAATATGAAGACATACCCCTGAAATGGCATTATCCCATTGATTTGCTGTTTGATCTTCATGCATCAAGTTCAGCTCTTCCTTGGGACATAACAGTTTAAGAGTTTTCCAGAGAAAGATCTTCTGCACTGTCCATCTAAAGAGGCAATCAATGCTCATTTTATGTCTGGTATGAAAGAAGCTAATGCTTCAAAGCAGAAAAGCCAAGTAATCAATAAAATTCAGAAAAAAAAAAGATCATAAGCAGCTTTGGATGGGACTTCAAAATGACAGATTTGACCAATTTGGGGCCATCAGTCAGAAACTTAGGGAGTATCCTGCAGAAGAAAATGGATTTCATTATATCCCTTTTAGACTATATCATACAACAACTGAACACCATTTCATTCAGAAACTGTTTTGTGGGTGGCTGCAGATGGACAGCTATATACACTGGGCAATCTCCTCAAAGAAGTTTGTCCCTCTGCAATTACTCCTGAAGGTGGAGAAAGAAGGAATCAAGTGACAATTCATGGAATTGAGCCAATGTTGGAAACACCTCTGCAGCAGCTAAGTGAAATCTGAGCTATCCGGATAATTCTCTTAGCATCATCCGCAAACAAACAAGAGTGAAGCACCAATTGCTGGCTTGAATGGAATCGCTGGAAACAGAGTTCACCAGAGCAGTCACCCTTTGACTCAGTCTGGTTTGGGGAGGCAACCGGACTGGACGCTGCAGGTCTCCTGGTTCCTTGTAAAATACGATGAAGCTGAAGCCTTTGCCTTGAGGAGACCATGGGAGTATGTGGCACTCAGCTTGTATTTTTGATTAACAAATACACAGTCGCTGCGTCGCTGACCCCC